TATCCCCTCTTCCCAAAATAGAAGAAGTTAAATTTAATAAAACTACAAAATGAATATGTATTCATCAATAGCCTGATGGGTTGGAAGAACTTCAATGGTTGTTCATGTTCTTCGATGCTCAACATTCTTTTGTTGATTTTCTTTTTTGCTCCATCAACCGAAAACAAATTCAATTGGACAAAGGAAACAAAATTTCAATTAGGTGAGAAATAACAATAAAATACAACATGCAACGCAAAAACCATTCACATAGAATGGAAGTATTGAAACAGACACGAATAATAAAAATATTGATCACATAATAGGCTAGAAACAATCATACGGTGATCTTTTAAAAATAGAAAGCCTAAATCAAAGCATGCAAATTTGGTCATTCTTGCTAACAAACAAGAACATATATGTCTTAACCACTAACCAAAACGAACAAAAATTGAGTTACAGAACATATATGTCAAAATCACTAAACAAAACATAGAATATATTTGTTTGGGGTTCATAACATAATTCTATGAAAACTCTCCACCAAATCAATTTCCTTTCTCCAATTTTAGGACACTCGCCATGATTTTCTAGTTTAACTTAACTTGCTAGCATCTCAATGATTCTATGTTAAAATATGAAGATATAAAAAACAGAACAAAAGGCATTGTCAACCAGGGATGGAATTGAAAAAATGGTGGCAATTTATCCTTGCAGTTGAAAAACTTGAGTTCACAACAACTGAACAAGCCAAAATAATGTCAGAACAGATAGCAAATTGATAGAGTTCCAGATCTTGCAGTTTATCTAAGTTGGGGAGCTCCCATTTCCTAAACTCTAGGGTAAAGTACCCAGCAATTAACTTTAAAGAAAGGCAGTGAAGGCCTTTCGGGATAATTCTTCCATCAAGCCTTGCAAGAAAGGTTTCCTGCATCTTCTAAGATCGCACCTGCTCTTCAGCATTCTAACTCATAGCACAAAGCTTTTTCATCATGGCAGAGTAGTCAGGGTAAATACGACTGGCTTTTAATAGGGTAGAATTCAGAGCTTTAGTCCCCTGTAGACATAAAAAAAAATGAATAAATAAAATGAATTGGGCTGATTTAAATAATCAGCCCAATTAAATTTATTAATGTCTTCTAAAGCCCATAAAACAAGAAGGTTCATACCACATTTTAAAATAGATAAGCATATAAAAAAAATAAATAAATAAAATCATAAATTACTCAATTATATATCTTAGTTAGAGATAATTGAGTGGTTGCCAAAATAGGTCACAAAATTTCCCCTATAAATAGAACCAATGGTCCATAAGACAAAAAAAGCACAAGAGGTGAAAGAAAAGCAGAGAATGCAACCACGAAGTATTGAAGAAATTTCAAGACCTGAAGAAGTGAAGAATTCTTCTCAAATCCAAATCCGGTGAACCCCAAGAAGATTAAAATCTTCTTCGAATCAAACAGGTTCACGTCAAGTCCAAGGAGATCAAAGTTTTCTTCAAATCAAATCAAATTCAAGTCCAAGTCTCTAAGTTTCGAAGTTCAAGTTCCAAACAAGTCAAGTCTCGACAAATCAAATTTTCAACAAATTATTGAAGACTAGGATTCAAGCCATGTGGCCCCTCGTCTTCAAATATTCAGATCATTAATCAGAGGATTTTGCCATTTTGCAATTACAAGAAGGTCGACATCACTTGTATTTCTTAAAAATACAATTTGTAACGATTTTTGTATTTTAATACACGAAACTCCGTCCTACACCCCCGTTTGATTTTCATTCTTATAAGAATGAAAATGAAAAATATAGTCGTTATGGTGAAAGAATGAGAAAACTTCGAGATTAACTACAGTCTTATGATCGAGCCATTAAACAACAAAATAAATGCAGAAAATAAAAATCAATACGAGGAATTTTTCGGCCGTAGTACCAGAGGTTCAGCGACCACTTTCTAACGCCTAATCCCCTATTGAGCATCCATTATAAATGGATAAAGCTCGGTTGCACTAATAGACCAAAAATCGGCAGCAAGTATACAAGAGTATTTCAAAAAATATTACGAAGAACTCAACACGAAGACTTATCTTTGTAAGAACTACTCGACAGACCGCTATTCCGCAAAGGAATTGAATAGATCACAAAGATCTATCAAGAACCAGAACTGTACCCTATGAATACCACATAGGGTAGTACACGAATATGCAGATCTATAATACCACAAGGTATTCACACGTTTATTCACTGAATCCACTCAAGATTTATGAAACCTAATCACCAAGAAAATGAATAATCTCATGCAAAGAAGAGAGAGAACAGAGAGATGAACAGCCGAGTCAAAACACACTGCAAGTGAGCTGAAAAGGCACGTTTGGATATTTAGGGTTGGAATGATCTAGAAGCTCATCCAAGGGTCATTACTTAGCCACGTGTTTCAATCCGGTCAGTTCCATTTATTTCCAAAAGTGTTAATCCAAAAACACGTCTTTTCCACAACATTTGGAAGCACACTTTTATAAGTAATGAGAACACGGTTCGAATCTCAACAATCTCCACCTTGCTTCCAAATTCTTGGCCATAGTGCAGCCAGGAGCTACACCAGCACTTTATAATTTCATTTTCTCATAGTACCTGCATGATCAATAAAGGGAATCAATTGATAAGAGCTTCAAGCAGTTTTGAAACTTGTTTAAAAGTATTACTTTTGTTCCCATGTCAGATGGATTATGCAATGTAGCAATTTTACCAATCTTTAATAACCCTTTTGATATTACATCTCTTATGAAATGGTATTTAACATCAATATGCTTGGTTCTATCATAGAACATAGGATTCTTACTCACATGAATAGCACTTTGATTGTCAGAAAATAAGGTTGGATTAGTGTCCACAAAACCAAGTTCATATAGTAGACCATTTAACCAAATTCCTTCTTTAACGGCATCTGTAGCAGCAATATATTCTGCCTCAGTGGAAGATAAAGCAACTACCTTTTGTAACTGTGATTTCCAACTCACAAAAATACCACAGAAAGTAAAGTAATAAGATGAGGTAGACCTCCTATTATCTTTATCTCCAGCAAAATCTGAGTCAGTATAACCTTTTAGTACTACCTCCTCTTTATTTATCTTAAACACTAGACCTACGTCAGATGAACCTTTTAAATATTTCAACAATCATTTTAGTGCTTTCTGGTGACTTTCACCAGGATTGGCCATAAATCTGCTCAATACACTAATACTATATGCTAAATCAGGCCTAGTACATATCATTAGATACATTACTGATCACATAACATTAGCATAAGGTATTCTATTCATTTTAGCCAATTCTTCTTCAGTTTTAGGACATGCATCTGAGGTCAGTATAAAATGATTTGCAAGAGGTAATGTTACAGGTTTACACTCAAACATATTGAACTTTTCAAGATTTTATTCACGTAATCCTTTTGGTTTAAGAACAACATTCCATTTTCTTTATTTCTAACAATTTGCACACCAAGAATCATCTGCTCTGTGCCAAGATCTTTCATGTCAAATTCTGATTTTAACTTTTGCTTAATGTCATCAATTTCAGATTTACAAGCACTAGCAATAAGCATATCATCCACATAAAGAACCAAATAAAGAGAATTCTTACCACCACATCCTTTACAATACAAACATGTATCATAATTGCTTCGATTAAAATCAAGTTTTAACACAAAAGAGTATAAATGTTTGTATCATTGTCTAGGGGCTTGTTTCAACCCATACAATGATTTTGCTAATAGACAAATAGTTTTATTTGGATCATCTTTTTCAAAACCTGTTGGTTGCCTCATATAGATCAATGCATCCAATTCTCCATATAGAAAAGCTATTTTTATATCTAATTGATCTAATTCCCATTCAAATTGAGCAACCAAAGCCAGAATGTATCTTATGGTGGTATACTTAACTACAGGGGAAAAGATCTCATCATAGTCAATCCCTTCTCTTTGGGTGAACCTTTTACAACAAGCCTAACTTTATATCTAATATTATTATTGCCTCCTTCCCCTTCTTTTATTTTATATATCCACTTGCAATCTATCAATTTTTGATCCTTAGGTTTCTCAACCAATTCCCATGTTTTATTTTTATGCAATAGGCCATCTCCTCTTCCATAGCAGCTAACCAAATTTTTGAATCCTTTGATTTTATGGCATCATTATATGAACAAGGTTCAGATTCAATTTCATCCTGATAGGAGAACAGTGAGACAAATTCTTCAGTATTACACTTAACAGGAGGTCTAATTTGTCTTCTTTCCATATCTCTAGTTAGCTGGTATTCATCGGGTGGTACAATGTCATCATTGGGTTCAGATTCTGCCAGTTCAACATCAACACCATTCAGGTCTGCATCAGTATTTTCAGTTTCTAAAGGGACAGTATTAATATTATCAAGCTTGGTAGGCTCCACCTCAATTTGGACATCATTATCAGTTATGTTTTCTTTCTTTCCCTCTAAACATGGCATACAAGACTCGTTAAAAATTACCTCTCTCTTTATAATAACCCTATAACCTTTTTCCCCATAAACCCACAGCCTATATCCTTTAACATTTTCAGCATAACCCAAAAACACACATTTAAGGGATCTTGGTTCTAATTTCCCTATGTTTTGATGAGCATATGCAGCACAACCGAATGTTTTCAAGTAGGAATATATCACAGGCTTTTGTGTCCACACAAATTCTGGCACATTAAAATTTAAAAAACTTGTATGACTTCTATTAACTAAATATGCAGCAGTTTTAACAGCTTCACCCCAAAATAGTTTGGCCAAGCCAGAACTAAAAAGCATGCATCTAACTTTATTCAACAAAGTCCTATTCATTCTTTCTGCAATGCCATTTTGCTGGGGTGTATAGGTCATAGTTCTATGTCTTAAAATGCCATGCAGTTCGCAAAACTCATTAAACTCATAATTGCAAAATTCTAGTCCATTGTCAGTTCTCAATGTTTTGATTTTCAAATCAGTTTGATTTTCAATTTGGGTTTTTCAATCTTTAAATGTAACAAAAGTTTCATCTTTAGTTTTCAGAAGAAATACCCAAAATTTTCTTGATAAATCATTAATAATAAGCAAGTAATACTTATAACTAGACAATGTAGAGGTGGATGCAGGACCCCATAAATCAGCATGTAAGTATTCTAGAATTTGCTTTGATTTATGAGTACTAGTGGGAAAAGGTAACTTAACTTGCTTCCCAATCAAACATTGTTCACATTTAGTCAAATTACCAATATTTGATTTTCCAAAAATACCTTTATTTTGCAAAGCCTTTAAGCCTTTTTCACCAATGTGACCAAGTCTATAGTGCCATAATTTTGCAAGGTTAAAATTGTCATCTAAAACTGCAGCTGAAAGGCCCAACATAGGTTTTGCATTTAAAAATATAAGTCATGTCTCTTCGGGATAGAAGTGATCAAATCACTTCCCCTAAAGATTTTTATGTATCCTTGACCCAATTTTATGTCAAACTCCATGTCATTCAACATTCCTAGAGACACTAGGTTTCTTTCTAATTCTGGAACAAATCTGGCACTTTTCAGTAATAGAACCCTATCGTTCTCTAAAAGTAATTTTATTGTTCCAATACCTTTCACTTTGTAGGTCATGTTGTTACCCATGATAACTTGGTCTCCCTTAGTTTATTCAAGATCCAAAAAATGATTTTTATTTGGGCACATGCGAAAAGAGCGACCTAAATCAAGAATCCATTCTTGATTTAGGTTCCTTTCAACATTAACTAGGACCAAACCATACCATTATCACAACTCTCCTTATTATAAGACATAACAACATTACCTTCATTTGAATTCTTTCCTTTTAAATCATTTTGCTTTTTTTAACAATCTTTAGCAAAGTGACCCAACTTACCACAATAATAACATTTCTTTCCCTTAGCCTTGGTTTTGTATTTCATTTTATCATTATTTCTTTTCTTAGGGTCATTTGAAAACTTTGAATGAAAATTAGACTTACCAATATTTTTGCCTTTTAACAAAAGATTTTCTCCACTTTGATGGTTGATAGAATCTGATTTTAATTCAAGAACCTTATTTCTCAAGGTATTTATAATAATATCTATGGTAAGATTATCTCTACCATATTTCAAGGCATTCTTTAAGTCTCTATACCTATCACTAATGGAGTTTAACAAGACCACTGCCAGCTGATCTTCTAATAATTTCTCATCACAGTTGGCAAGGTCCTGGGTCAGTTTAGTAAATCTGTCCAGGTTCTCATCTAAATCAACTGAAGGGTCCATTTTGAAAGAAAAGAATTGTTTTAGCAAAAAACATTTATTTGGAATAGTTTTTGGCTCATATTGGGCTTTCAATTTAGTCCACAATTCTTCAGCAGTTTTAGTTTCTCCTATAGTCCTGATCACACTATCTGAAATGTACAGAAAAATTGTACTCCATGCTATTTCTTCTAACTCAGTTTTTTTACCAGCAGACATTTCAGCAGGCCATGTATTATCTAAGGCTTTAGCACATTTCATTTGTATCAAGATAGTCCTCATTTTCTGACTCCAAATATTAAAGTCCCACCTCCCATCATACATACTCATTTCAAACTTAGCAGTAGCCATCATAGTATGTCAGGTTAATGTACAAGGCACAAGTTTGAATTTCAAGAATACACCGAGGGTCACTTAGACCAGGACTATTTACAGATCACAGATTAGTGTTAATCAATAATGCACTTCGTAAGGTAATCTCAAAGCAATGATCACTCAACTCACAGTAAAGAAGCAGAAATAGAAAAACAAAGATTACTATCCAATGTATCTCAACCGAATTTCTCCAGCAAGATCTTCCAATTGCACTCCTCCACCGTGTTGTTATCTCAGATTCCCAAGACTTCTTGGAGTCTTCGGACAAAGACCAATCACGGGAGGGTGTTGCAGTACAAGGTAAATCAAGGGAAAATTTTAAGGAAATACAACAGGTAAAAATTACTAGACACGAAGTATAGGAAAGATCTCACCAAAAGAATTTAAGAACTCAAATTCCTTCTGCTTGAGTTAACATAGTTTGAGGCAGTATTCGAATGCACAGTTTCCTCAAGGATTAGGTATCATTCAAAAGGCCATGGCTCTGATACCACTGAAAGAACGAGAAAACTTCGAGATTAACTACAGTCTTATGATCGAGCCATTAAACAACAAAATAAATGCAGAAAATAAAAATCAACACGAGGAATTTTTCGGTCGTAGCTAAGAGGTTCGGCGACCACTTTCTAATGCCTAATCCCATATTGAGCATCCATTATAAATGGATAAAGCTCGGTTGCACTAATAGACCAAAAACCGACAGCAAGTATACAAGAGTATTTCAGAAAATATTACAAAGAACTCAACACGAAGACTTATTTTTGCAAGAACTACTCGACAGACCGCTATTCCACAAAGGAATCGAACATATCACAAAGATCTATCAAGAACTAGAACTGTACCCTATGAATCACACAGATTCATCCAAAATACCACACAGGGTAGTACACGAATATGTAGATCTATAATACCACAAGGTATTCACACATTTATTCACTGAATCCACTCAAGATTTATGAAACCTAATTACCAAGAAAAGGAATAATCTCATGCAGAGAAGAGAAAGAACAGAGAGATGAACAGCCGAGTCAAAACACACAGCAAGTGAGCTGAAAAGGCACATTTGGATATTTAGGGTTGGAATGATCTAGAAGCTCATCCAAGGGTCATTACTTAGCCACGTGTTTCAATCTGGCCAGTTCCATTTATTTTCAAAAGTGTTAATCCAAAAACACGACTTTTCCACAACATTTGGAAGCACACTTTTATAAGTAATGGAACACGGTTCGAACCTCAACATATGGGACCCACACAAGAGAGAATAAGTCAAATATGGTGACTTAATGTGATGGATAACGGTCATATTTTTCATTTTTTGGCCAAAGAATGCGAAACAAACGGCGCCTTATAATCTTTGGTAGAGCACTAAAAATTTAATTGGTTTATTAAATAGTGTAACCGATTTAGCTCATTTCAAATTATGCTTAATTAAGCATGAATTGGTCATCACTCAGCAATAGAAAGATTCGCTTTTCAAATGAGGAAAAGTGAAAAAAAAATAAAATTACAGATTAGAATTTTATTGTTTTTATTTAATTGACAGGGGAACAATATGAGGGAGGTGAGGTTCATCTTTTTACATTGCTACCACAATTTTTATTTTTCACACCACACTTTTTAAACATTTTTCATATTTACAAACATGGTTTTAATTTTTTCCTTTTTTACATGACACATTTTTTGTCTATTCCACCACTTATGAAATAGTTAGTCATTCTATTACCAGATAGACATTCAATTTCATCGACAAATAACATGTCTAGTTATCATTCATGCTTTTGGCTGCTAAATCATTTTTCTCTTTTCGTTCCTGTAATAGTACAGCTTCCTCGGCCTCGACCCTTGAATTAACAAACCCATGAATTAGGAGAAAGCAAGTTTCGTGGAGTAAAAGATGTAAAGTGGAGTTTTTCTTCTAAAGATGTTCCTACTGGTGTTTCTTGATTCCAAGAAACCCAAGAGAAAAATTTGTTATGTTTCTTGGGAATTATCCTCCAAGAAATCGACTCAATGGGCTAAACAAAGACTAGTGGAAGACGATATTTTTAGCAGCAAAACATTACAAGAACAGACCTAATATCAGGAGATGCTCTAGTGACATTAGTAGCAACAAAAATAGGTATTTGCACCACTTTCTGAGCATTCGTACTTTGACTCTTCATGTTGCTACTGTTGACACATAAAAATTCAGCCCAAATCGAGCAGCCCAAGGAGTGAAGCCCAATCGAACAAATCAAGATGAAGGCCCAAATAAGGAGGTCCAAGAACGCGGTAACGCCATCGCCCAAGTTTGCAAGTCGCCCAGAATCTGAGCGAATGGAGTGTCATACAGTCGCCCAGAGCTGTTACTCTATTCTCGTCCAAACCTTCAAGTCGCCCAAGGTATTAACAAACATAACACGTCGTGGTTATCAAGAAGTGCAGTTATCAAAGCAGTTATTAAAGCAGCCCTATCACGTTCCACGATTCAAAGAATTCAATCGAAAGCGGTTGAACGATGAAGGGTAATGGCAGCAGTTAAAAAGCAGTTTTCATGACAATGTGGCCATTACGAAGAAAGTGGGTAGTTATAGGACGATCAAGCAGTTTTTAAAGTAGTTGATCACAAAGAGATCGTCTATGAAGTATAAAAGGGAGAAAAGACATAGAAGCAAAAGACCGAATCCAAAACTCTCGAACAGAGAACATGTAATTTTCATTTCCTTAGTTTTTAGATTTAAACACTTTTCTTTCAGTAACTCGTGTGCTTGCGCCCCTTGGAGGCACGTTGTTTTTTGTTTCCAATTGTAAAGTCATCACCAATAAAAGAACACCCATTTTTGGGACTTTGTCTCAAGAGGTTTCGTCCCTTACACAATCGTCTGATCCTTTTTAATTGTTAACGACTAACCCGCGTGAAACAATTTGGCACGCCCAGTGGGACAGTGGTGTTAGGTGTTAAAAGTACAAAAGGGGAAACAATATGCCTCAGAGATCCGATAAAGAAGCAGCAAGTCAGGGAGGAATCCAGTCTGTGATCGAGCGATATGAGGAGCAGCATGCCTCTCCATGAATAGATGGACAGAACCAGAGCAGTAACAGTCGTTACGAACCAATGACGGAGTTGAGTCCTCGAACCATGCGTGCATTACTTGAAGAACTCACGCAAGACGTCGTTGAACAGGTAAATCTTCGAAGTATTCATAATATGGAAAGATTTACTCAAAATGGGAATATGCACTATGACAACATGGCCAAACAACTAAAGACATTGAACGAGACAATGAATAAGTTAGTAGGCCAAATATGTCAATCGGCTATACCTCTTACAAACCACTTTCAAACTAGGACAATTGTGGGACATAATCCTTCGGTCCTAAATCCGAGTCAAGGGGTAGAACCGCTTTCTGGTCCCTCTACTTCAAACCAAGGGGGTACTACAGTGCCAAATCAAAGCAATGGTAGTGGTATGCCTAACTTGGGGGTAATCCAAACGTGAGAGATAATGTCCTAAACAATGGACAGAATATTCCACGTGGTAACGAGGGAGTAGATGTTCAGGCTAATGGTAATGGCCTTAATCATGGTAATTTTGTTGCCAATCAAGGACCAAATATCAGGCCTCATGCAAATCAATCGGTTAACCAACCTGTAGGAATTCCATATGACCCCAACGTCTGTTGAGGAACCAGATTATGGAAATCGTACAGGATCAGATGGTTTTTGGGGTACGTTTATTAGGCCGACGTACACAAAGCCATATCTTGATTGGGTAGACCAAGCATATCCATGGCCTAGAGGGTACAAAGTGCCAGAATTCTCACTGTTTACCGGTTTAGGAAAGGTGTCTACTCTAGAACACATAGGGCGATTCACATTTCAAAGTGGTGATGTAACCGATTACCATAAAATGAGGCTTTTCCCTAGTTCGTTAACAGGAGTAGCTTTCTCCTGGTTCATCAACTTGCCAGCGAACTCTGTTCAAACATGGCAGCAATTAGAACAGTTGTTTCACACTCAGTTTTATAAAACTGAGTCTGAAGTCACTTTGGCCGATTTAGCGAATTTACGTCAATGCCAAATGAATGGGCAGAAAGTTTTCTCCAAAGGTTCAAGACAGTAAGGAGCAAGTGTTTTGTACCTCTGCCCGAAAAGGAATTTGTCAAGATCGCTCAGGGCTGCTTGAGCTTTGATTTAAAAAAGAAGTTCCAGGACAAGGAATTTCCTGATCTTTTCCAGTTGAGTGCGAATGTGATTAGGTATGAGCGACTGATAAGAGAGGAAGAACAAATGAAAAATTCTAGTAAAGGGACTTATTACAAAGACCCAAATTTCGACGTTCATACCATCGACGATGAGTCATACGATCAGGCCGAAATGTGTTTGGCCCGAATTGGTCAAAGGGGATACATATACTTGTCCCATAATGGCCAAGCCTAGACCATCGGGCAAAGATGAGCCCATAAAGGATGGAAACATAAAGGCTAGAACGTTCTCGTTCGATGTGACCAAAGCTGACCTTATATTCGATAAATTATATAGGGATAAGCAGATAAAGTTGAGCGATAAGCACAAATTGCCAAACCCTGAACAAATTAAGGGTAAAAAATATTGTAAGTGGCATAATGCATGGTTACATTTGACTAACAATTGCTTGGTTTTCCGTCATGTATTGCAGGATGCCATTGAATCAGGACGAATTACGTTCGATGATAAGAAAAAGATGGCAGTGGACGAGAATCCTTTCCCACAGCCACTTGGAATAAACATGGTGACATCTGAATTTAAGAACAAGTTGCCAAAATTCAATTTAGTCATAGATGAAGGAGAAGAAGATCCTAGACCACATCCCAGCGTCTTTGAACGAATCAAGGGGAAAGAACCAAAAAAGGACGAAGACATCCTGTGTGCAAGGTGTAAAAGAGAAGTGAATGGAAATACGGAGAAGTCAGGGACATGGCAGCATCCTTATCGCCCTACCTTCTTTCCAAACACTC